TACAACATGAACAATATGCCCGAAATTTTCAACAATTTTTTCAAAACTAATAATGAAATTCATAATCACAATACTAGAAGTTCCAAAAAACTACATAAAACCTACACCCGAACTAATTATATGAAACATACTCTCTCCAATAAAGGAGTAGATATTTGGAGTAATTTGAACGAAGATTTAAAATCCATCCAATTTTACCAATCGTTCAAAAAACAGGCTAAAATTTATTATCAAACACAAGAATAATAATACAGCATTATATTATATTATTCATGCACGTCTAAAACAATGTAGGGTAAAAACAATGCTTCCATCATTATGAACTCCTAACTTCATATTTGTTGTATATCTATATTATTGTAAAACTATATCACAACTTTCTTTAAAATTTTATGTACTATATATTAACTGACATATAGCTATCGTTTGAATTTAATATTAGCTGTAATAGGGGCCTTGCACTAAAAGCTTCTTAAAGTTTCTTAAAGGCTCCTAGCTCTAGTATTCAACAGTCGTAAAACTGTATATTCTATCTTAATTATGTAAATAGGGCGAATTTTTTTAAATTAATAAATTAATAATTAATTTATACATCAACATTTTCAAGAACGGCCATTAGACCAGGGGTTAAAGGGCAATGACAATGACATGCAGGTGACATTTAAAGGACATCGGCAACGGATTTTTTTATTGCTTGTTTTGTTCTCTATAATTGTCTTAGTCAAGATATGTATTTCATTTGCGATGAAAATATCTCATTTTGTAGTAAAAAGCGAATGAATTTGGTCTAATTATGCATACAGTCCGCCATTTTGAAAGCACATTTTGGAAAATTATCTTTCATGTCATTTGAGGCCTCTGACGTCATTGGCAGGGGAGAAGCAAAACAATACGCTGTCGCTACTATAGCTTTTGATCAGTTTTAACTTTTGTGAAGAATTTTCGCCGGTTCTAGGCTTTCTATGGACGAAATTCATGAGAATCAGTTAGGTGAAGTGTCACCTTATCAGTTTGAACCTGTTTTAAACAAAAATACTGGTAGCAGCGGGGCAGAAGCGATTCCGAGAGCCAGTCATCCTCAGAAGCTCAGACGACGACTTGAGATTTCGATGAAGCATTCGAGGCTGGGAATATCTGGCGTCTTAAATCGCTCATTTGGTGCAAGTGTGGCCACTGTACCCCGCAAACAAAGACGATAGGAAGTTTTTGCTCGCACGAAAAGGCTTTAGAGTACGATGAGTACGACCTTTAGTCACAAATGCTGAAGGAAGCGGTCAATGTTGGTTTAGTAAGCTGTGGGTTAGTTATGGTATTTATAGTTTTACTTCGTTTGGTAAAAATTTTCTAATGATGTCGCTTGTAGTGCAGAAGGTAGTTCTTCCATGATTAACGTAAGTTCGGCCTCTAAAGTTGTTAGAGCTGCATTTACAGTCCTATTCAGTTCTGGTGATTTGGTTAGGTCTGCCTGTTTGTTTTCATTCTGCAGTATCAAATAACTGTCTAAACCACGGTGATTCTGTTGTTTACACTATAATATGATTATGAATGTCTGTGTTTTGAATGTGTGTGATTTACTTGTGTGTTTCAGCGAGGTCTGACTTCTGAGTGTATTTTGATCTTAATTAATTGTGGAGCGTAAATGTCTTCGCTATTAGTAAAAGAGAGATCTAAACTGGCTATGATTTCTTTCTCGCAAACTTCGAGTCTGAGTCTATGCGAAGGTCTGCTCCTTTTATATCGCTAAGATTAATACTCGCAAGTCGCAACCGACAAATTTTCATCCTCTGTTGATAAAAGTGACTTTAACCACTCTTCAAGATTCTAAATTGTGAAACAATGAAGAAAAATAAGGATATGGAAGAAGCAGAATTTATTAAAGCTATTGGTAAATGTATATTTCAAGTACTGGTACCTTTTGACGTTGTCTCTTCTCGGTTTGTCTCCTAGTTCTCTTCGATTGTGACGAATGAGACTGATACGTTAGAAACGCTAGCGCTGGTCGTAGGCTTGTCAAGCGTTGGTAAACATTGGGCTTTACGCGCAAACTCGTTTTCTCTGTGTATCCAGTCAGTGCTTTCGAGGAATTGAGGAGAATGCGAGGGTTCATATGACTTCTCGGCAAAATGAAGCGAGCAAATTCTTGTACAAAGTGAGGGTTTGATTGCTTTTCGTTTGCAAAATTCTTCCAAGGCCGCTCTGCGGCTCTTCTGCTCAGACGTTTTGCCGCAAGGAAAACGAAAGAAATTAACGTTTCTATTTGTCTTCAGTTGACTATCACTATTGCAGCAGCCGTACACAGGGCAATATACATTGCTAAACTTTGACCTTCATGGTTTAATACGTATTACATGAATGCAATAGTCTGTGGAAAAATATAGATTATAACATAGTCCATTTTATGTTTTGCGTTTTATATGTTTTTTAGAAAACTAAAGCATCGTTTCCTACCTATCCTCGCCCAGAAAATAATGGACCAAAAATAAATTGGTTTACAACGTGATTTAAAAAAATTAAACTTATGTCAACTGTATATTGCATTGACGCAAGATGTTTGGCGCTCCTACACTAAGACGTAAATACTCGTTGCATATCTTCCGCAAGGCGAAAGAACGCTTATTATGGAAACTTATAGAAATAAACAAGGTTGCTATGTCATTTTTATGCAATTTCCTCAAATAATATAGAAAACATGACGAACCGCACTGCCTTAATTATGCAAACTTTGTGTTTTAAAAACACGAATCTCCGGAAACGCATTAGCTCATAACTGTCACCAATCCAGGTGAAGTGCATAAATTTACTAAGATTTTTCGCTACATGATATTGCTGATCTCTGTAGGAGCTCTGACGAAACCTGTTATTAATATTGTTATTGATTAAAGGTACAGACTGAAGGTGTTTTGGATCTTCTGAGTGATAACAACTTCTAATTTATTGCATGACATTTATTGCGGGAAGCAATAACACGTGTAAATGTTGCGCTTTTTCGCCTTCTGATGGCCTCAACTTAGCAGCATATGGTACCCAGAATGACATATTGTAACAAAGTCAAAGATCTATGAATTATTCTGTTCTACATGTATCAAGTGTTTACCATGTGCCAATATATCAGATAAAGTTGTGCGTTAATTCTGTGATGGTGGCTCAGTAACTGTTTTTTTCAGTATTTTACTATATCGTTGAGACATGATTTGCTTAGCACGATAATCTATTCGCACTTACAAAACTCCCCAACCTTTATATTAAAACAACTCTCTCTAAAGCATAAACATCGGCATCGCTTGCTGGTGACTGTTTTGACTTGCCTTCTATTATTTCAGATGCAATATGCGCATGCTTTTCCATATGCCTATTTACTTCAAATACTTTTAAGCTTCAATTACTGATTAAGGTAAGATGAAGCATCTTCAAAATCTGTCAGCATAAGATGACGCATCTTTCTGACACAAGAGTATATGAGCTTAAAAGTATTTGGAACAAATAAACTTGTCATCATGCAAGATCATGCAGTAGATTGTGCATTGGAGCAAAGCAATGTCATATTGTATTTATCGCAACATTATGTTAGCAACTCAAATTCCATTTCAATTTAGAAACTGTAGTTCCATATGCCTATTTATTCAAATACTTTTAAGCTTCAATTACTGATTAAGGTAGGATGAAGCATCTTCAAAATCTGTCAGCATAAGATGACGCATCTTTCTGACACAAGAGTATATCAGCTTAAAAGTATTTGGAACAAATAAACTTGTCATCATGCAAGATCATGCAGTAGATTGTGCATTAGAGCAAAGCAATGTCATATTCTATTTATCGCAACATTATGTTAGCAACTCAAATTCCACTTCAATTTAGAAACCGTAGTTCCATATGCCTATTTATTCAAATACTTTTAAGCTTCAATTACTGATTAAGGTAAGATGAAGCATCTTCAAAATCTGTCAGCATAAGATGACGCATCTTTCTGACACAAGAGTATATCAGCTTAAAAGTATTTGGAACAAATAAATTTGTCATCATGCAAGATCATGCAGTAGATTGTACATTATAGCAAAGCAATGTCATATTGTATTTATCGCAACATTATGTTAGGCTGTTAGCAACTCAAATTCCATTTCAATTTAGAAACCGTAGTTCCATATGCCTATTTACTTCAAATACTTTTAAGCTTCAATTACTGATTAAGGTAAGATGAAGCATCTTCAAAATCTGTCAGCATAAGATGACGCATCTTTCTGACACAAGAGTATATCAGCTTAAAAGTATTTGGAACAAATAAACTTGTTATCATGCAAGATCATGCAGTAGATTGTGCATTAGAGCAAAGCAATGTCATATTCTATTTATCGCAACATTATGTTAGCAACTCAAATTCCACTTCAATTTAGAAACCGTAGTTCCATATGCCTATTTACTTCAAATACTTTTAAGCTTCAATTACTGATTAAGGTAAGATGAAGCATCTTCAAAATCTGTCAGCATAAGATGACGCATCTTTCTGACACAAGAGTATATATCAGCTTAAAAGTATTTGGAACAAATAAACTTAATTGTCATCATGCAAGGTCGTGCAATAGATTGTGCATTATAGCAAAGCAATGTCATATTGTATTTATCGCAACATTATGTTAGCAACTCAAATTCCATTGGAATTTAGATTATTTAATACAGTATCATGTAAGTGGATTCGAGAGCTTTCGGCCAATATTTTGAGCCATGTACTTTGCAAAACATCGAGATCGAGTTGCAGAGACTGACATAAACCTACCCTTCTTGACTCATTTTGGCATGAGTTACTGCATGTAATTATTTACTTACTGTAGGTTTTCCAGAACTATGAAAATTGTTTAATCATACCAATATACATCACTCTGAACACTCCCAATAAGGTGAAGACCATTCGCGTTCGTATAAGCGAGAATTAAACAGTTTCAAAACTTTGTATACGTTTTTTGTTCGTCTTTCAATCTGTTCTCTAACAGCATTATGTACTCAATCATTCGCGCCGTTTCGTCCCTTTCGTTGTTCTTCAGAGAATAAACGCTTGCATGGTGTTGTGTTGGCGCCAATTTGAATCTTCAAGCGGGAAAGAGTTGACCATTTGGCGTATATGCTGGAATACGCTGGACTGTAGCCACGCACCGTCAAGTGTGCGCTAACTGCGCTTTCTCATCGCGAATGTTTAGATACCGAATGACGAGACAACGTAAGCTTCGGCGATTTTCCGTCGAGCATTAAACCAACGGTATGGCACCGGATTACCATTATAATTCTGAAGCTTAGGTATTTTATATTGACCCGCTTGAATTCGTACGGGAAACATCGCAATATATATTTATTTCCATTATTCCTATTTGATATGCTTGAACCGGGCAAGCAGTAATTATAAGCGTACCAATTTC